TCTTTCTTTTTTTTGGCCGTCTCGAGAAATTTCGAGCGAAAAGTTGAAAGTCACCTCATTCCGAAACCGTCAAAGGACCGAATAGGTGGGAGTTAGGTGTTTAACCATCTTGTCTAGATTTCTTTTGGGTCGATTTTTGTTTGTGTACGTAACATACACGTGACCTAAAAGGCGTCGTTGGCCCGTCGGGTTGCTTTGTACGGGAACTCGGCTGTTGGTGCGTCCGCAGAAAGGGGACGCCAGACGTTTAACAGATACCACAATGGCCGTGCCTTTTCCATCCGTATCGTTTGTAACATTTTTGTCATTGGTCTTTCTTTTTTTCATCGATTTTTTATTTCGTCGTAAAGAACACCAAGCGAACTTCTGTCGACGACAAAAACACCCCAATTAGACGGGCATTGTCAATTAACTTGGTTGTACAAGTTTTACGGGAGGTCTTGGAACGGAGATTTTTTTTTCTACATTTATGCTTAAACTTGCTTGAAAATTACAATTAAAAAAGTGAATGTAGGATTTGATATGTTTTACGAGACATAAGGGCAGGAATTCAGAGGGAAAGGAGCAATTTTGAGCTCTGCTCTTAAAAACTGCCTTTTTTTTGCGGTCATACGTCAAACGCGTCATATTACATCACAAAGGGGAAACATCTCTGCTCTCTGACCGCGGGTATAGTTAGTAGTTGCGTTGAGTTGAGCGGTTGTGTTTTAGTGAGCTGGTATTTTTCTGTAGTTTTACATTGCATTTCACCATTTATAATCATGGTGCAGTATTGTGTTTGTGCAGGTTGCACAAATACCAGCCTGTCAGGACATCGAGTCCACAGTAAAAAGGACCGGAGCTAGCGTTCGTTCCTGGGTGCGTTGTGCATCCAACTCCCTGCAGCACATACTCTCCACAGCTTTATCAGGAAACCGTATTACATCTCTCCCCCCCCTTCGCTGCTCTCTCTCTCTCCCCTCCGGTACACGGCACCGTAAGACATAGTGTGGAGTTGCATTAGGTAACGCTGTGGTGGCTGTACTGCTCCAGCCATCTCCTTTGTGTTTGTTTGTTCCCCCCTGTATGTGTTGTTTGTGTGTGCGTGGTGGCTGTCACTCCTGGCTCCCGGCTCAACCTCCACTCACCTGCTGCAATCAGCTGTGCACCCTCCCCGACTACACACCTGCTTTCCATCATGCCATTTACAACGGCATATCAACGGAGGCTCCACAACCTTTTTCCGCCAGATCGTCAAGTATCAGCCGTATCTCGCGTCTCTCCTCCGGTACACAGCACCGTAGTGTGGAGTTGCATTAGGTAACGCGAGATACGGCTGATACTTGCGCATTAGTTTCTGTTATGGATCAGTATCAACAGTCCTGCCAGTAACGTTACTATATTATCAATGCTACGTTAGTTATAGCCTGATATATGATAGCTAACTTTACAATGTTGTGATGTGACGTTAGCTAACATTCTGTAGCTAACGCCGGTCACTCACCAAGATAGCTGCCCAGTTCTCCACTGGTTCTCCTCACACCACAGCTCAATTTCTCTCCGATGGCCGTTATTTCTTCTAATCCTTGGCTGCTCCTGGTCTCTTGGACGCCTAGCAGGCTCATAATTATAAGGTTGTGGTCCGTCATATGCATTTGAAGATTCATGTTCAACTTCTTCTGTGTCTTCTGTGTCGAAACTAGCATTAGGATCCATGTTTATTAATACGTTACACCGGCCGCTCTCCCCCTTGTTTCCCCCATGTTACGTCACACGCGGGAGGTCACGTGCCGAGGCTTTTTTTATGCGGAAGTGAACATTTCTTACAAAAACGACGCCAGATGTCACTGTAGTGTATATTTCTGTATATTTTTTTGAAAAACTAGTGTATTCATCATTTTCCTACACATTTATTCACAGGTGTCTTTAACCTGGAAGTTGCTCTTTAACCAGTACATCAACTTCATCAAATATTGTGTTCTGCTTAAAGTGCTCAATTCACATGCAATAAGACAAAGGTTTTTATGTATTTATTGTATGGCTCAAAGTGAAGTTTGAACTTCAAGTTAGAAGATGTGTCGGGTCATGACTTTGGTGAGCGGTTGCTAGTCCCCCTCCATAGTGACGAAGTAGCAAGACGGGCTGATGTTAATGGTTTGCGGCCTAAACTAATCATAGCATGATGTGTTAATATTCACTCTGGTTTAAGAATGGCTGTTTGCTTAAATTATTGTTTTTCTGATTTAAAAAACTATTTTTGTTCACAAAACACTGTATACATACTCACCAACCGCTGAACCCTTTGGTCCAGCTTATATTAAGCTTATCACGTGTGAAAACACCATCAATAGCTCCCCTGCCTTTTAACCTCTTAGCCCATTTATGACCCAGAGCCATTTAGACTCAATTGGATGTTACCAGCACCTCAGCTCTCCATAGCCACACACTGACCTAGCAATCCATCAATGTCGGCCTTTGTTTTTTATTACACACTCTCAGAGGTCCATCGTGTCCAGCAATCTGACTGACTCCATGGCTTATAAATACAATAACAAGGACACACAGGCCATTTTCATGACTCATGGATCCAGTGGTGCAATTAAAACAAGCACATTTGCCTGACAGTGAATGTAGTGACATCTACTTAGACACCCATGGCTGTTCCTTCACTCTCTCAGCCCATTCTCTCCATTGATTTTGTTTTCCACCTCATTGAGTAGACTGTATATTGAACGGCCAAACCTCTTTGGTTAATTGGTGGTCACCTCGTATCTTGTATCCAAATATGTTCAGATTGTGGCAGTTGGGTGGGATATAGTTTTCCCTAAGCATCAGTGCAGCCTAGATTTCACCTATTAAAATATTAAGACTAGAAATTGAATTATATAATTGTATTTACTTGCACTATATTTTTCTGTTTATCTGTGTTATTGTGTTGGAGTGAGCTTGTGACCTAAGATTTTCATCGTCATAAATACACTGTAGCTATGTTCGTATGACAAATAAAAAAAAACTTGAAACCTTGAACCTTAATTAAAGGGAAGACTCTTAGGCTCTTTGAATGCTCTACATACAATAAGGCTAAATTATAAAAAAATGTAAGCGGAGAAAATTGACAACAATAATGAAAACACTACTAGTGTAAATTATAAAACCTGCAATGCACCGCACATTGCTGTTGTACGCTTAAGCAAGTTGTAACTTTTAGCAGCTTTTACTGTCCTTGCCAACACTGGCATTGTCCAGGAAGGTGACGTAGCTCAGGATGTTGTGAAGTCATCTCGTAATCATAAAGTTTCCTTTAGCTCGACACTGAACCCATTACCACTCCCTATTGACACCCTGGGTGGCAGCCCCTGTCACCAGTGTATGGATGTGTGTGTTTGTTGGCAGTTTCCAATCTTAAATGTTCTAATGTTCCATTCATAGAATTAAAGAATATCGTGTTTCAATTTTTTAGTGTGGTAAGATATAAAGACAACAGACCTTTCACTGTTGTCTAACATCTGAGATGCTGTATATGTAGTAAGCACTTTGTGTAAAGTTGTGTGTACATACATGTCTGTCTGTGAATATGTGTGAGGTTTCTGCCTCACCTGTGTCACTTAGGACACCTATTATAGCGGTATCAGGTGAGAGCGTCTGGGAGAGAGAAAGCTGTCCTGTCAGCCATGTGGCAGTGTAAACCATCACGTTAGCCCTGATCCAGAAGGCCAGTCTCTCCAACTTCAGAGACATGGAGAGGGGCCTTATGAATACTGCATGATGGAGCTTTTATTACAGAGCGAGCTGGAGTGTAAATAAGATCCAGGCAATGGGGCACGTTTACTGAGGTCAGATCAGGGGAAGTGGTGGGGGGTGGCTATGTAACCTTGTCCCCATGTCTCCCGCTGTCATAAGCCTGTCACTGTAACTCATAAAAGTCTGCTCGGCCCTGAGGGGGCCAAGGACAGTCTGAGAATAAAGCTTTAACCAAGCAGTAGTCACACCTTATCTCCAGGCCCTAAAACATGCCCATCACACGTATTTGTTAAAACTTTGGAAACTCTTCTATTCTATTTTACACATACATTTAATTCATATAGAAAGAAAACCTGCTTATTGTGCTTGAATTTATATTATGGGAATATTTCTTTATATTCCTATGTTAAACATATTTAAGACACATTCAATGAATGGCTTTAATGTCTGTTTGCCTTGATCTTACTATGGCCAAAGTAAATTGCAGACAGAAGGGATATTTTACATGAAGGTGCATACACAAAAAATGTACGCATACAAACTTGTACACAAGGTGTCCGACGTACTCTTCTCATGTGTCAAAGCAGTAGTTAGATGCATTCTGTCACGAGCTGGGTTTGTCTTTCAGCGCGTCTAGACTTCTCATTGAGAAATACATGTCGTTCAGCACGGAGATGACTTGCTTTAATCTCTTTTCAGGCTGCTTCACACACACAACCTGCCCAGCCAGTACTTAACATGTCTACCCCTGCAATCCTGCCTCAATTAACATTTTCATCTTAATTAAGAGGCAGCACTCATGCTTAACTGATATTGATTGTAGCTTAAAGGAAGATCGAGACATTAAAATGGAAACAAGGCCGTCAGCCTTATGTGCATAGAGCTTTTTAACAGAGAAGATGACACCTAAGATCAAAAACACTCATGGGCAAAATAAACTGAAAAATAACTGTCTTTTACTATTACATGTCCCACTTTCAGCCTTTTGTTTAGACTTTTGGTAATAGCTAGTTGATTATTTTCACCATCTCTGCAGTTTATGTTGTTTTCGCCTTAGCAACAATCAGACTGTTATCAAAGATGTGTAAACAACAGCTCACATTCAGCACTGCACAGCTACTTCCAAAGCCCAGTGTTTGTTCTAACTCTAAATACTTGACATGGCACTAATGCATGGCTTTAATTAAAGGCCCTGTCCTGTTTTAAGGTGTCTGGCCGAAGAGCAATGTGATACTCTAATCTAAGACGCATTAATCACACCTTGCACGATACGCGTTCTCTGTGCCCCACGGACAGCTGAGTAGCCAGGTATCACATTCACGAAGCCCTCTCGAAAGCTAACCGGGCCGTGTGACGTACGCGGCCCCCTCCTCATCCCCATCACCTGACAGCTGTTGGACAGTATTCGTCCTTGAGGATTGTGTGTTGAGAGGTCCTGAGATATTGTCACTGGTGCCGTAAACTAACCTTCAAGGGCTGTAACTAAAGCCGGTGTTTGGCATAAGGAGTTTGATAATTAAGTCATTATGAGGCCAGTCTGGGGCCGCTGCTTCACTTGCAACTCAAAACTCTGTCTGGAACAGCGAGTGATAGGGCTGACTGGATCTGGTTCTGGGTGGTGACCTCTGACCTTTGAGAGGAATTAGAGTGCTATCTAGTCATGTTAATTTTAACTCTAATAAGACTTATCAACTAGCAGATCTATGGAGTTTTTATTGCATCGTCCTTTATTACTATGATGTAAACGTTATCCACAGGTGTACTACATTGTTATTACAATACTTGACCATTTGTAAATTATTGAGCACAGCGGGGCAGGGTGAAAGGGATTTTCGTGTATGGGAAGTATAAATGGACCCTACATTAATAAAGAAATATTATGATCAGAGTTATTTACTTGGAATATACAACAATTAACTAAAGACCCTATTTAAATGAAAAATGAAAAACAGCCTTCTACAATTTTTTGTTTTACATCTTCATTTTTGTATCTCTAGAGCGTACCATGTTCTGGGCAAGCGGGTTTTAGCTGTCAAGGTAAGAACTCCTTCAATGTTGATGATCGTAAATGCTCTTTAAAGTGACCTAAGCATAAACACAACTTACATTTTTTATATATGTTTCATAACAGGTAATTCCTCTGGACATCACGGTGGAATTACAGAAGCAGATCATGTCAGAATTAGAAATTCTCTACAAGGTAAGTTTTGATTTTTTTTTTGAATACCCTAAACCGGATCTACATTGTAAATAAACCACGAGTCTTACCAATGAAGCAACCTATATCGCCTCTGGTCTTACAATGTAAGCAAGGGATTAGGGAACACGGAAACACACGCAAGACACACGTGGACTAGGCATGTGACTTTAATGATCACCTCCTTGGAAACTCTTAGTATGCATATAAGGAGTTTGTTTGTGTTTCCCCTAAAATTCAGAGGCCAAATCATTGTTTGGACAATTTTCTCTTATAATGAGCACGAATGCATTGTGTGTTAGGTTGTGGTGAGCCTGTAATAGGGAACATCCACTGGCCTGTACTCAGTATATTGATGTGTTTGGTCTGCTAGCCCTCTTATCATGTAATATGTATGCAAATAAATGATATATTTTTCCAAGCATAAACATCTGATGGACTTCAAATTCATGCTGTTGATGATTTTTCGCACTGACTAGAATCAGATTTTTTATCTTCAAGATCAAATTGTATATTTTCTACTTTTTAATGTTGTATTATTTCTATTTCGAGATTTTACATTTTAAAATAGTTTATTTCTACTCTTTTAATGTTTTACTTATGTGCAATGCCTTGTTTTTTATGCTGCTGCAAGGCAAACATTTCCCAATTTGCGATCGATAAAGTTAATCTGATTTTAAAGCGTTAGACGAACATGAGAAAATGTCTACGATTTAGCTCCACTGTAGCCCTTTTGCATTCAAACCTGTAATGAAATTATCACTTTTCACTCATTTAATATCAAAGAAACAATTTTTTTGCATGCTCTTTAATGACCTTGATATCTCTTCTCTTGATTGCAGTGTGATTCGCCGTATATCATCACTTTCTTCAGTGCCTTTTTTGTAGAGAACAGGATATCCATATGCACAGAATTTATGGACGGTGAGTTTCTCGATGGCTCGAGTCAGTAGATCATGTGTTTTATGGTTTTAGCCACAGCTGTGTAGAAGAGACTTTGGGGAGCTGTTCTCTGTCTCTCGGCTGTGTATCCATTTACACTTCTGCAGATCAACAGAACGTCTTACGCTGTGAGCTGCTTAGCATGCCTGTGTGCTAAAAGCTACGAGGGCGCGATAGATCTCGACTTGAGTGCATTTGTAGGTGCGTTTGTACGCGTGTGTATAGACTGGTGTGAGATGAGGGACTTGCTATGTTTTAAGTTGCGTGTGTTTGTCAGTGTGTGTTAATGCAGTGATTCCCCTGTTTCACACATCAACTAGGATGTCAGCAAAGTCTGTCTAACCTCTCAGCACTCTTTGCTTCATGACACATCTGATCAGTCACTTCCAGTTAGTCTAGAAATGAGGGTGAAAAGTTGACGGCTTAAAGAAACATCAATGACTTTGTCCTTTTGTTTCTTGTTTTATTCATATGGAAAACAAGTGTTAAAATTCAATATCATATGAAGAAACAGTTAATATATGAATTATAACTGTGTAGAATCACTATAGTTTTAGGTACATGTTCTGTTTCTTTGTCTGAATGTCTTTCATTTTGTAAAGCACCTTGAATTGCCTTTTGTTGAAAGGTGCTATATAAATAAACTTGCCTTGCCTTACATTTTGAAATATAACAAGTATGTGTCCTCTACATTTAAACAGTCTTACATATTATGCAACAGACAGCTTTGCAAAGAAGGTCCAATGACTTGGAAACTTTGGAAAAGTTATTATTATTTTGTTTTTTTTGTATATTTTATGTGTTTATGTTTTGAACAATACAAGTTGTCATTGAAACATTTTGGGATTGGCAGTTCTGCATTCAGAAGTGCTCATCGTTCTCCCTAATTATGAATATGTTTAAAAAATATTTTGTGTGAATGTTCAGTGTAAGAGAACCATCATGTCTTTGTTTGGGACATGCTGCTTCTGAATCAGCACGGCTGTTTTATGTGCGAAAAAAGGCAATGAGGGTATTTGTTCAACAAATACCCTCATTGCCTTACCCTCAATGTGTAATGCTGTATCACTGCTTGATTAAATAATTTGTCTTTGGCAGGTGGTTCTCTAGACGTGTACAAAAGAATTCCAGAGCATGTGCTGGGGAGGATCGCAGTAGCAGTAAGTTTGAATGAAATACTTTATCTCCCTTTCAGTAGTTTGAATACTAAGTAAACAGCATTAGACTTAACAGGTATCCCTTAGAGTCTTTCAAAAACAATTTTTTTTATGTGAGATTGTCCCATGTGTTCCTAGCATCAACATTTTTAAATGCAACCTGTTATTTGTTTATGGGATGCAGAAAGCCTTAGGGAAAAACTCCTTTTTATTAAGGAAATAAAACAAAAGAGAACCACAGGTGTGAATTGTTTAATTGGTTTCTATTTGGTGAAGTGATGGACAAAGTCAGTGTTGTATCTCCCTCTCTTTCTGCTCTCATTTAAACTAGTATTTTGACAGAAATGGCCTTTTCCAAACTCATTACCCTTCTCCTGTCGTCTCCGTCTCCCGCCCTTTAACTTTGTCCGTAATCAAACAATGACAGCTATTTAGTCAGTGTTAATTCTAATTCACAGCTTTCCCTCCTTCCCACTGTCACAGTTGTTAATTATCACAAAAGGGAAAGCACCAGAGAGGGTGTGAGTGAAGCTGCACGCTGCAGTATTTGCACTCACACCACCACCTTTTGAGGCAGCGGGACTTCAGACAGCGTTTTGCTTTCTTAATTTAAGTTGCCATGCTTCAGAGATAGATGTCAGCAGTCGAGAGGCAACAATCAGCTCCCGCATCACTTGAAGGAAAGCAGGATTACTCATTGGGAAAGGAGTAATATATATATACAAAAATACAATCATTTTATGGCTGCACAAATGAAAAAGTCTCCTATCTTACCCACTTTACTCTCAGCAGTGTGCGTTTTCCCTTCCATATCTACCCGAGTCATTTGTACATGTTAAAACCCTAACTAGGTTCCCTAACAAACTGAATTGTTCTCAATGTGAAGGAGCAATTACCGAAGTCCTTCCTAATTGCTCAGCTCCTAGGAGACAAATCTCCCTTTGAAGAAACACTTTCTTGTTTGCTTGTATCTGCAGTCTTATTATTTCAGTGACTACCCAATTCTTTGAGCAGAATGGAGGACCGTAACAAAGATTGAGCTGCAAATTTCGAGTTCGGACTTTTCTTTTTACCCCACAGTCCAATACACAGTCTAAACAAGTTCAGCCTAGACACCTACCTAACTGTAGTGCATTTTAGGATCCTTTACCCTGGTATTAAGACTTAATTCTTCTACATCAGCCAGATCCCCCACTCATCTAGGCTGAGTGAGTAGGAGTAGTAAGTAGGGGGATCTTGGCAGGGAGAATTATACGATTACCAATATCAACTACAATAAATAGATATAAAAGCCTACTTAGCTCTGCCTTACCGTGATGTAAACAGGATCATTGCCATTTTGATGCCAAAGTTAATCTGTTTTTCCTCTCATCTGTGCCTTCAGGTAGTCAAAGGGCTGACGTATCTGTGGAGCCTGAAGATACTTCACAGAGGTGAGTAAGGTAGTGTGCGGGAGCTGTGTTATTAAAAAAAGAGTTGATAGCGACAGGCTGTACAGTGCTGATGCTGCAGTTCTATCAAGCAGTTTGTCTCCGCAGATGTCAAGCCTTCCAATATGCTGGTGAACACCCGAGGACAAGTCAAGCTCTGTGACTTTGGTGTCAGCACACAGGTACACTGGTTTGTTTATGTGAGCATGAAAGAGAGCGAGAGAATGGTGTGTGTGTGTGTGTGTGTGTGTGTGTGTGTGTGTGTGTGTGTGTGTGTGTGTGTGTGTGGAAAAATCCCACACACGCAAATTATTACTACCCTGATCTCACACACACACAAGGACAAATTTTCATAACACATCGTATGCCATGTCCCAACAAAACTCCTTTGCAACTTCCAAGACAGGGAATACTGAATAGCGAAACGTTATGTGTGTGTGCGGGTGTGTGTTACTGATCCGATAACGACGATGGGTGGCGAAAAGGGGGTGTGTAGAGGACTTTTGATATAGTTACTCCGAAACCGGACCACACACACCACACACACACACACACGTAGTCACACTACACACACACACAACACTCACACCAATACACACACCACAACACACCCTCCACACACACCACACACACCACCACACACACACACACCGCGTATTAATATTGTTCACTAAAAAAAACCTCACCTCGACGTCTATGATTAACCACCACCCTGCACGCCCCTCTTCATACTCGCAACTCTGGCTTCTGAACCCTACGCTAGGAGGTCTTACAAAACTTCAACTTTTACTTCGGTCACTAACTATTCCAACTGCTCTAAGCGTGTATATATGGTACTATGAAGGTCCTCATAGTAATGTCAACTAACTGTACGTAAAGGACTCTGAATAAGGATTGGAATTGGATAGTTGTACGACACTCTAGGATTGGAAATGGCGACTTAGGATTGGTTCAGAAGTGGGATTTTAATTATAAGGCGGAGTACCACTGGAGGTTAAAGAGGGGTAGAGTTCCGTTACGCTCAGCGGGTAGTGCTCGTACACCATGTTCCTCTGAAACCTCGACAAGAGACAGAGCAGCCTGTCTAAATTCCAGGGGTGTTCATGGTGACACATTACTGATCCGGTGTGGTTGGTGTGTGTGTGGTGTGTTGTGTGTGTGTGGGTGTGTGTGTGTTGTGTGTGGTTGTGTGTGTGTGTGTGGTGTGTTGTGTGTGTTGTGTGTGTGTCGTGTGTGTGTGTGTGTGTGTGTGTGTGTGTGTGGTGTGNCAATGCTGCTGTGAAAAAAAGAAGCTATATCCATGTTGGATAGAATATCCAATTTAAATAAAAAAATAACCTTAAGGGACAACTTGAATGCTTTTTTTTTTCTTAATGCATTGCATAAAGATCGGATCGGGAAAAATCGGTATCGGCAAATTGTCAAAATCAAATGATCGGAATCGGATCGGGAGCAAAAAAAGGTGATCGGGACATCCCTAACCGAAACGTTTTTGACCTCAAAAATATTTTTTTTACGTCATCTATATTACTTTATAAATGAGTTGCTCAGTAATGATATACAACTTTAAATGTTAACATCTACTGATTTGTTGGGTTTCTTTCCTCATTGTTTCTTAAAATCCAGCTCAAATGTAATTGCCGCCCTCTAAAGTAACTTCCCAATCCCATCAAGTCTTAATTAGCCCTTTAAGATGGGTTTATCTCACTAATCCCTATCGCAGCAATCTAAATCTGGTTACCTCAGGTTACCTCCTGGCAGCCTGCCTTTCACGAGACGGGGAGAGATATATAATGAACACTTTGTTCTTAAAGCATGATGACATAGACATATTTTTCAACATATCAACACTACCACTTTACACTTTTTGTTTGACTAACATTGAAAGTAAGTCCTGACCATGTTCTGCATATTAGCATTGGTCACCTTTTTGTGTGTCATTGTCCTGCAGGCTTAATGTAAGCACCACTCGGACTGCTCCGTCAGTCAAATGAAACTTTGTTGCGGTTGATTAAAGCAACCGAGTGTGATGCTCTATCAGCCCGGGGATTGCCTAATTGACGGCTTCCTTTCACTTTGCCAACTATCCTTTCTGGGTGAGAGGAAACCACTTTACTTAACGTTGGAGCTGGATTATACGAGATTTCAATGATTAGCCTTCATGTGAACTCAAATGTCAAAGTGTTTTGGATTTCAATGTTAGTAACCTCAGTTTAAAGATGTTATCCTATTAATGTTCTCTCTTATGTGCTGAGAGAAACCCAAGTATGTTTTCATTGAATTACTTCAGTACCTAGTTGCGTACTTCCACAGTGAAAAGCAAGTCGTGATGTAGCTATTCGCTTGTTTCCTGTGTTGATCATTAGTTCTTGAGCCATTATGAAAACACATGCACTCCTTTTGTGTAAGGGAGCACAGGTGTGTTTTTAGAACACTTGAATTGTATAGTGATGTAAATGTCACACAATGATCAATCTGTGTGTGGCAGCCTAGGGCATGTCTGGTTTTAGAGGGCTGTTGCTTTCATTATCATGTTAATTGATGGTGTATTTTTTTAAATAAAGGGTAGTTTATTCTACCCTCATTGATAGAAATAAGACAAAATATTAGAAAACACCTCTCAGTTTGTAGTTGAAGCTCTCCACTGTCATGCAGCTTTCCTCATCGTAGTGTTAATTTTCCCCTAACTCCATATGGTACTGCAGACAGTTCACCTGCAGGCTGTGGCAGAGCGGTGTGGCGAGAGCGCTCGGATCCAGCTCGTCAGGCGCAGCCAGCCAAAGTCCTCGGGCCTAAACTGTCATTTTTGCAGACGCTGGCACAGCTGTAGCCCCTGCTACACTTCACGGAGAACATTTTAGTACATACTGAGGGAGGAGTTGGAGAAGATGAGAGAGAATCTGTGGCATCTTGGTGGAAGATACCGGATGAGTTATTAAAGTTGGGTTTTGGCTGTCCATGATTTTGATTTTTGAAAAGTAAATGTTAGCATTGTTTGGGGTCTTAGCTTCAGCCTTTACATTCTGAGTATGAGTTTGTGATGCTTTCATTTGATGCATTATCCCTCATCTCTTTGTGCAGCACGCACAGTGGAATCATCACCTCATGTTTGTCATGATTAGAGATGGTCTCTTTAATTCCACTTCACCACATGTCGGGATTCATTTGCGTCCTTTGTCAGGAGTTAATGGAGTTTTTGCGCGGCTCGCTCTGAAAGTCTTTGAAGACACCAGATCCTATGTGATGTGTATACAGCCGCCAGCGCTATTGCTTCTGATTGATTTGTTTGCTTTATGGTTGTTTTTGTTTCTCTCCATTTTGTCATATTTTTCTCAAATTTGAATTAATTTTTGGATGAACTACCGTGTCAGTTATTCGTGTGTATGTTTCAGGAGCTTCCATTACACATCACTGCATCCATCAAACGGCAGAGACGCTTTCCCTTTGCTACTCTATTTTTCCCTCTCAAATGAAGGGGAAAGAATAGTTTTGTAGTTCTGTATGCGTGTGGTTAACAATGTTTGCTGTCATCTTTCAGCATCCTATACCCGCTCCACAGCTCCAAACTTGTTTGTTTTTGCTTGGTCACATGTCCTTCTTTAAAGATCATCTTGCAGGTTTTTTTTTTTCTACATTTATGCTTAAACTTGCTTGAAAATTACAATTAAAAAAGTGAATGTAGGATTTGATATGTTTTACGAGACATAAGGGCAGGAATTCAGAGGGAAAGGAGCAATTTTGAGATCTGCTCTTAAAAACGGCTTTTTTTTTTAAGGTCATACGTCAAACGCGTCATATTACATCACAAAGGGTAAACATCTCCGCTCTCTGACCGCGGGTATAGTTAGTAGTTGCGTTGAGTTGAGCGGTTGTGTTTTAGTGAGCTGGTATTTTTCGGTAGTTTTACATTGTATTTCACCATTTGTAATCATGGTGCAGTATTGTGTTTGTGCAGGTTGCACAAATACCAGCCTGTCAGGACATCGAGTCCACAGTTTCCCTCACGGGAAAAGGACCGGAGCTAGCGTTCGGTTGAAGCCTGATATATGATAGCTAACTTCACAATGTTGTGATGTGACGTTAGCTAACATTCTGTAGCTAACGCCGGTCACTCACCAAGAGCTATCTTGGTGAGTGACCGGCGTTAGCTACAGAATGTTAGCTAACGTCACATCACAACATTGTGAAGTTAGCTATCATATATCAGGCTTCAACCGAACGCTAGNTACATCTTTATCACAGAGAGATCATGTCAATACTTGTGACATGGCTGCTTTCCTCTGAACACATCTATTATTGTTATAAATGTAAAAATATTAGTGGTTATTGAACAGGGACGGATCAATAATGTCAGCCGGGAGAAAAGAGACCAGGGAATGTCCCACTAAAACTAAAAGGTAATTTTAAAGCACAGGGTGTCAGTCAAGCTACACATAAATGTATCTTCAAACTCAATTTGGACTGTGTTATTACAAAATAACAGACCACTTTTGCCATAATTTAGTGTCACCTCCATCAATATCCTACACTTTTTTTAATGTACAAATTCCAGCTATAGTGTGAATTAATATATACTTTGTCCCACCTCCATGAAAGAGATTCCCACACTCCAGACATCTGCGTGGATACCATACTGCTCTCCCGATATCCTCTCTGGCTGTGGAACACAGAAAAAACAACAAAAACCATGAGGACAAACTTTGTGAATGACAATTACCTCATCTACTTATACAACTTTTAAATAACTTGAAACAGAGGAGGAACTGAGAGGATCACTTACTGCCATGTATGCATTTGTTCCAACATAGGTTTTGGCAATAGAATTCACCAACTGCAAAACAAAAGATGTAACAGTGGATAAGCAGATAATAATGCTGCAGTCAAAAATAAATATGACTATTCCATTGACTTTATTAAGCATTGTTATAGAGTCATTCCTCTGGTGTCCTATATATGGAAAAATAGAGATAGGAGTTGGACCTAAATTGCATCTAAATGTATTGATATGTCAGGTTGATATGTTGGGATGCTCCCAACCCTTGCAAAGGGGAACAGGAGTACGACAAGGAGACATTGGTGAGTGTGTGTGCGTGTACAATGCCCCATGCCATCAATGACAGGATTGTGATAATGAGTGTCTGTTCCCTCATGGCCTACGACGTGAGAGGGGGGAGCATAGACTGTATAGGGGGGAGGGAGAGTGTGTATGTCTGAAGAAAACGTAAACAGAAACATAGAGTTAAAAAAGATTGAGGGCAAGTCAATGTTACGGTGTCCAGCTATCCGTGCAGGGTGTACAATTCACCTTGTATCTTTTAAGGAAGTGGAGGTTAAAAATGGATGAAAGGAAATGATTGTGTGTGTGTTTGTTTAAAAGAGGGACACAGTCCTCAGGGTTGTTTTGGGGAACGTTGAAGGTCTGTCCCTTATGATTTCCTTTCAAACACACACACGCCCACACACAATGACTAGGCTATTGTCTGCTACCCACGCTTTCCCCACATCTCCTGAATACATATCAATGAGGCTTTGCCGTGTGTGTGTGTGTGTGTGTGTGTGTGTGTGTGTGTGTGTGTGTGTGTGTGTGTGTGTGTGTGTGTGTGTGTGTGTGTGTGTGTGTGTGTGTGTGTGTGTCATAATTATAACAAGTGATTTTTTTTGGAGGCTGCAGAACAATGGTGGTGGAGGGGGGAAGTTAATGTGAGAGGAAGACCCTTGGGATCGCCTCAATGTTTTGAGTTGAAAATGAAGCCAGTGATTGAAATGTTGACCATATGCGCACATATACCATGTATCACTTCAGGGGACATTACATTGACTTACATGCATTTCCTGGAGACTTATCCTAACCTTAACCATCACATGCCTAACCCTAACCCTTACCCTAATCCTAACCAAGTCTTCACCCTAAAATTAATGATTCCCCTCATGGGGACCTCCAATTTCTCCCCATAAGGGAAGCGAGTCCCCACACGTGACTGTGTAAACAGATTTAGGTCCCCACAAGTATAGTAATGCTACTGCCTTAGCCACACCACACACACACACACCACACACACACACACACCACCCACAACACACCACACACACACAACACACCACCAACACACACACCACACACACACACACACACACACACACCACACCAACACACACACACACACACAACCACACACAACACACACACACACACAACACACACACACACAACACACACCACACACACACACACACACATTCTCCTCGCTCTCTTCTCCTCGCTCACATAAACACCACTGTACTTGCTGTGCTGACACAAATCCGCGCTCTCGCTGTCTCCGGGCTGTTCACAGCATATTGGAAGGCTTGACCTCTGCGAGACAAACTGCTATGCATAGCACTGCAAGCATCCAGCACTGTACAGCTGTCGCTATCAACTCTCTTTTTCAATAACACAGCTCCGCACATACCGTTACTCACCTTCGTGAAGTACTTCAGGCTCACAGATACGTCAGCCCTTTGCTACTGAGGCCAGATGAGAGGAAAAACAGATTAACTTTGGGCATCAACAATGGCAACGACTCTGTTTACATCACGGTCAGGCGAGCTAAGGTAGGCTTTCTCACCTATCTACCTCTTATTGTAGTCTGGGATATTGTAATCGTATAGATTCTCCCCTCAAGATCCCTACTTAACTACTCCCTACTCTCGCTACGATGCGTGGGGGATCTGCGCTGATGTAGAAGAATTTAAGTCTTAATACAGGGTAAAAAAGGATCCTAAAACTGCACTACAGTTCAGGTTAGTTCAGGCCTGAACTTGTATTACGACTGTCGTAATTGGACTGTGGGCGGTAAAAAGAAAAGTCCGAACCTCGT